AGTTGCACGCGATACTCATGAAATCACGAACGATAATAAAATCGTTAAAACATTAACAACCGCAAGTGCTAAAAAAAATAATTTAAGAACAAGGTAGTTAAAATTTGCAACTAATTGCCAAATAAGATGTACGGAAGAGGATTAGGGCCACATGTGGAAAAAAAAATTGAGTTCTGAGATTAAAGTCAGACCTTAATCTCAGGCTGTGTCTGAAATCACCCTCGACTCACCATTCGCCATTTTGTAGTGCTGTCCGAATGTACGGGGGTAATTATTATGCCCTTTACAGTCCACGCAGTGAATCCCAGAATGCATTTTGAAAAGTAGTGTACAAACGATGTAAAACGGTCGACCGATTGACCCTTGGCTAAGCCACGGCCCGAAGAGAGAGTCGTGTCAGCGGGGGTCCAAAACGCTTGACCGTCACGTGGTTCATGGAGACCGCAGATAGTTCCCAGAAGTCCCGGGCGGGCAGTTGAGCTCGACAGTGTGGCTGATTGCTGACTGCTTTTTTAACACGGGGTGTTAAGCCGAGCCAGGACCTTCCTGCAGCCTACGGACAGCTAACTGTCACGGTATCATCGTATATGTTGGTCCCCAGTAGGGCTGGGTGTCGTTTCAATTTCATCGATTCTGATTCTACTTTTGGAATCTGGTTCTTATGGACTCTCAGTTCTGGTTCCTGCACCACAGATCTTGTCAGTGACCTTCCTCCTCTTCCTCCTCTTCCCCTTCATGTCTCTAAAGTGAAAGGAGTCTCTGTCCTAGAGCGGCGTCTCTGGGACTCGTCTCATTTATAGCCATCGTTGGTTTCCCTTCAGTATAAAAGCTGAACGTCGGCTCACCTGTGTTTAGTACCTGAGGCGTTGCTACTGTTGGCGTTAGCTGGATCTGGGAGAGCGCGACACGTTGAACACGGTGAAGCGTTCCTTCAGATTCACGCCGTTTTGAAGGAAACGCTTCGTCACGTCGGAGCTGCTTCCTCCCTCGCAGCAACTCTTAGATTTACAGTAATGTGATTACTTTTAATTTGACGTTTAGTGTGAGGAATTATAATTTGAATTTCAGTTGCAGGCAGCCTACTTTGCCCTTTCCTCTGTCTTTCCTCCTCCAGTTCAGTGTTACTAAATCATAATAAATTATTAATGAGAAGTCTGAGAGCATTTTAGTAAACAGAAATTCAGGAGCCTCGTGCAGCAACTCAGCGCAGCGACTTGTTTGTGTTTTGTGTGTACTCCATCCACGAGAATCCATTTTGTCTGTTGTCTTGAATGAGTACGTACTTCCACTTGCGCAGAGGACGGTTGAGAAGGCGGATCACAGATCACATGCTGCTGGGCAGGTCTACCATGTAAATGTAAATGCTCCGTACTTGTATAGCACCTTTCTAGTCTTTTCGACCACTGAAAGTGCTTTTACACTACACCAGTCACACACTGAGCCTAAGTGCTCAAACAGAAACTAACATTCACACTCACTCACTCGCGGAACAGCCGCCAGGGGCAATTCGGGGTTCAGTATCTTGCCCAAGGACACTTCGACACGCAACCAGGGGGAGCCGGGGATTGAACCGCCGACCTTCCGATTAACGGCCAACCCGCTCTATCTCCTGAGCCACAGCCGCCCCTGGCGACCTGTCAATCAGGATAGAGGCGACTCGTTTCCGCTGCTCTGTACATTTAACACAGTCAAGTCGGCTGCTCATTTTTCAGGAAGTACGTTTTGTTTTAAGCCTGGTTGTCGCTAGTCAATATTAGCATCCCAGCTAACATGACTTACAGATGCACCTTGTTAACCAAGCTAGCTAGCTCCACCCTCTCGCCCAAATATGTTCACGTCTGGTTCCAAAAAGACATCGGCCAAACTTGAGCAACGGTGACGTCACGGCGGCTACGCCCACTTCAGGCTGGACCAAAGCGGAGGACATCTGTGTTGCTAGCAGCGTGGCTAAAAACTGACGACGTGTGAGGGACGAACAGGGCTGCGCGGGGACATTTTAGGTCGCTGAAAGCTCTCACATCTTGTCAAGTCTTAAAACTTCCTTTCTAACTCTGGAAATTATTCTGTATGTGACAATCCCACAGCGGTGGTGGAGCGGGGTCAGGTATCCACATATTTTTGGCCACACACTTTATTTTCAAGCCAGAAAATGTACTTATTATGACTTTAAAGGTAAACTTTGGACAAAATAATACGCATCATTTTACACGGCTGAACCTCTGCAAAATATAAATATTTCATCTGATAATCTCCATGATAACTGAGCAACTCCATCCCCTAATGAAGCCCACGAGATGAGGGTGAAAGCTCTGCAGTCACAGGACCATTTGTTGTCTCGGCCTGTCCTCTGTGTGCTGGAACAGTCTGTCCTGTGTTCAGTGTGTTGAAGAGAAACGTCCTGCCAGCAGCTCTCTGAACAATCGTGTGTTTGGACTGAACGCTGGTGTCTTTCTGTGAAGCTCTGGAAGCTTTCAGGCTGCTGCTGCTGCTGCTGCTGCAGCAGTGTTTCCTGACAGAGACCACACCTCCTGTCAACGCTCGCACACTCAGCCATGATGGAACCACCACACACAGGATGCAGACTTCAAAATAAAGGCATGAAAACTCTGCTCCCCAAGTGACACACAACAGCAGAAATGAGATGTGTGAAGTGTTTTTATGTCTGAATACATGATGTTAAATGAAGAACTGTCCAATGTGAGCCAAATGTACTTGTAAGGCCAGATCCACACTAACACGGGAGTACAGAGAGACTGTGGCGGCGGGAAACCGACTGGGAGTCGTCGTGAAGCAAATATGGAAACATGCACAGTACAAGTGTTATTCACACAGTACAAAATGCTTTAATAAAAACCTCTAAACTAAAACTCTTGTCATCGTTTTTAAAGCCTTTTGTTTTCTCCTGTCAGCTCTAACATGCTATCCCGGAGTTTAAAACCAAAACTTCAACGTTTTAGGTGTTCGAACTTGTCGTTTAAGTCTGGATGGTAGGTGCAAACGTAGCTTTGAGTTTTAAAACAAAAAATAGTGTGGATGGAGCCCAACTGTTGGTCCGTACCTGTAAACTTGAGATTTACACGTACACTTGAGTTCTGTGTGAATTTATTTTCACGCACAGAGTAACTGCTAAACTGTTTTTATTGGCTATAAGGCCACGGGTATTTTAATAAACAGAGTTTTTCCTCTTTGGTTCAAAAGAAAAATCTCTGACTACATGAAAACGCAAAAAACACGCTATCAAGCGCTGTCAAGAGCATTTCAAACCAGCAGGCAGCGATATGACCCGAACCGCAAAGCCACCAATCAGAGATAAAATCGTAAACAAAGCAGCAACACTGCAACAAGAATTTCTTAAAATCTTCTCCCTGGCAGGAGTTTTCAAAACCTGACTCTGTGTTTCCGTGTGGACGATCGCGGAAAGATTTTGAAAATGCCTGTGTACGTGTGGACAGGGCCTAAACATTTGTGCAAATCTTCTTTATCAGTTCACAAAATGTTTTATAAATAAACAGTTTATAGATCTTCTTACAGTTTGATTAAATAAAATCTATTTGTGCAGATTTTAATGTAAAATTACAGAACAGTTTCGCACAGTCCACACTCTGTAAATATAGACAGATTATTATTTCAATACACCATCTTAGTGATCAATAGCTTTCAAATATTATATAACCTACGTCTCTTACTGCTGATGGACGGTACACGTTTAGTACTTGTTTTCATGACATTGACTTCAATTTCTCATTGTTTGTTAATATTCATAATAATAATAATAATTGCAATATCAAAATGTTTTCTTTTGATTAAGATTATCTGTAAGAAACAAACAAACAAAGCAGTGAAAGACCAGTTAATCTGGCGGATATCCAGCATTTTGAGATAATCTGCATCAGCACTCAGGAGGCCGATATCTTATCCTAAATGACAGCAGCTCTAATCTAACAGCATTACTGGCTAGAGTTAAATAGATCTAGTTATACTGTAGAGAATAAAGCAGCTGTATGACGTCTGACAAATTGAACCTCGCTCTCCCTTCACGCTCTGAAATCTCCAGCAGAACCAAAAGTATGTTTCTGTTTCACTCATTAATAAACAAGACGTTACTGCTGAGAGAACATGTATGTTAGGTTAGATATCGGTATTATATATCGGCCACTGAAAAGATATTACTGTATTTTCAATGAATGACAGTCGCTTAATGTTACCTCGCAGCTGAATAAACAAACACATATTTTCCACATGCACACAGTTTCCCCTCAGAGTCCTCTGCCACCAAATGAGCACAGCTGGGGAGTTTTCTTTTAGAAATACATACAGCAAAGTCAAAAAAACACGAGTAAAAATACTTGTTTTATATATATATATATATATATCTTCATATCACATCTCTTTTCCTGGACACTGTATTTTTAAGGTAATTCTATAAAATTCCAAATAACTTTACAGATCTTTATTGTAAAGGGTGTAAATAAGTATTCGCATGCTTCGGTCAATGAACCAAAAACAATCAATGAACATGCAGCTGTGGAATTGTCATTAAAACAGGACACAGTGTCCTTTCGTGTCTCTGCTGCGTGGTTGTGACCCGTGTCTGACAGCGTGCAGACAGGACACAGTTATAAAACTTAAAACACTAAAAAGAAAAGATGCACAGGGTCCCTGCTCATCTAAGTAAACGTGACAGCTGCTCGTCCTCCCAGTGGGGGACCACATGTGGCAAAACCTGCACAGGACCACAGGGCCACACCACATATTCATCCTTCCTTACTTAATGTTGACCTCCCTTTTGTTCAGGGACACACATTTCCATTTGAACTCTGTTCAGTTTACCGCTTGTTGAATCTTTTTATGTTTGCTGGTTAAAAAAAAAAGAAAGCAGTTGTAAGTGAGAGGACGTGTCTTTTTTTGCTGAGTAGGTTTTATATTGGATAGATACATAAACCGAACAGTGACGTTTATTCTGAAGTCTCTCTGCCGGAAGTGTCCGTGTTTATCCGGTCGGTCTTGACGGGCGTGACGTTCTCAGACAGACGGGCTGTAACGGTGGACGGTGACTCTGCTGCAGTTTAACTTATCTAAACATTTATTCCCCCCCGTGTTGTTGTTTATTTATCACCGGCGCCGTTTCACCGTCAACATGTCGCACACCGTCGTCACGACAACAACAACAACGACCAGGGCGTCCGGTGACGGTATCGTGAACATGGGCTACACCCGGACCATCCCGGGACTGCTGAAGATAGGACAGATGGTGAGAGAACACGCAACATGGAGTTTACCCGGAATAACACGTTCACACCGGGACATCTTCACTGCTAACAGACTTTACCTTCTGAAGGAAAAGTATTTAATGTGATATTTAAATATCCTGCTGTTAATGTTGGTGATAATAATTTAAATTCACACATTAACATGAATAAGTTACTGCTGTGTGTTTAAATCTTTAGAGCAACAACAACAAAAAAAAATAGTTACATTTATATTGTGTGTTTTAGCTGTTAATTACTGCAAACTTGTTGATGAAGTGGAAGCATTTATTGTTAATTTCACCAGTGTGCCAGTTTACTGAAGATAATGAGATGTATCAGCAAAATTTGTTAGATTTTTTTTAGGAAATAATAAGTATGGAAATTTGACTCTTCAATTGTGCCCTGAATTACAAACATGATGTCTGTCAATTTAAAAGATAATTTAAGTCTAGAAAGTCGCAGTTTGAAAGTAAAGTAACATTTAGTTTTGTGAGAAACCACTCAATAAACTACAACTCTTGTCCCAACATGTTAGCGCTGGAATGCTAAGCTAACGTTTATTGCTTGCTTGCTACTTGCTCTAGGTAGTTTAGTTATGTTCCACGCACAGATGTATCTCACCTGATGTGTTTAAACCAAAGACTCCTCGTCCTTTCATCACATCATCCACAAATGGAAGCTCTTTGACGTTAGCTTCAGTGACGTCAGCTTCAGTGACGTCAGCTTCAGTGACCTTAGCTTCAGTGACGTTTGCTTCAGTGACATTAGCTTAAGTGACGTTAGCTTAAGTGACGTTAGCTAAAGTGACGTTAGCTTAAGTGACCTTAGGTTTAGTAAAGTTAGCTTCAGTAATGTTAGCTTAAGTGACATTAGCTTAAGTGACGTTAGCTAAAGTGACGTTAGCTTCAGTGACCTTAGGTTTAGTAAAGTTAGCTTCAGTAATGTTAGCTTAAGTGACATTAGCTTAAGTGACGTTAGCTTAAGTGACGTTAGCTAAAGTGACGTTAGCTTCAGTGACCTTAGGTTTAGTAAAGTTAGCTTCAGTAATATCAGCTTTAGTGACGTTAGCTTAAGTGACCTTAGGTTTAGTAAAGTTAGCTTCAGTAATGTCAGCTTTAGTGACGTTAGCTTAAGTGACCTTAGGTTTAGTAAAGTTAGCTTCAGTAATGTCAGCTTTAGTGACGTTAGCTTAAGTGACCTTAGGTTTAGTAAAGTTAGCTTCAGTAATGTTAGCTTAAGCGACATTAGCTTAAGTGACGTTAGCTTAAGTGACGTTAGCTAAAGTGACGTTAGCTTCAGTGACCTTAGGTTTAATAATGTTTGCTTCAGTAATGTTAGCATAAGTGACATTAGCTTAAGTGACGTTAGCTAAAGTGATGTTAGCTAAAATGACGTTAGCTTCAGTGACGTTAGCTTCAGACATTGAGAGAAACAGTAATGAGGTCACATACGCAGACTTTGTAACTATGTATTTTCACAGTCTTATTTGTTACAACAAACTGCAACTTTATTGACTTACTTTATCTTTTTAACTGATGCACATCGTGTGTGATTTTCTGGACACAATTCAAATTGTCTCTGCTGTGTGGTTTTTGTGTCTCTGCTGTGTGGTTGTGACTCGTGTCTCTGCTGTGTGGTTTTCATGTCTCTGCTGTGTGGTTGTGACTCGTGTCTCTGCTGTGTGGTTGTGACCCATGTCTCTGCTGTGTGGTTGTGACCTGTGTCTCTGCTGTGTGGTTGTGACCTGTGTCTTTGCTGTGTGGTTGTGACTCGTGTCTCTGCTGTGTGGTTTTCGTGTCTCTGCTGTGTGGTTGTGACCTGTGTCTCTGCTGTGTGGTTGTGACTCGTGTCTCTGCTGTGTGGTTTTCGTGTCTCTGCTGTGTGGTTGTGACCTGTGTCTCTGCTGTGTGGTTGTGACTCGTGTCTCTGCTGTGTGGTTTTCATGTCTCTGCTGTGTGGTTGTGACCTGTGTCTCTGCTGTGTGGTTGTGACTCGTGTCTCTGCTGTGTGGTTTTCATGTCTCTGCTGTGTGGTTGTGACCCGTGTCTCTGCTGTGTGGTTGTGACCCGTGTCTCTGCTGTGTGGTTTTGACCTGTGTCTCTGCTGTGTGGTTGTGACCTGTGTCTCTGCTGTGTGGTTGTGACCCGTGTCTCTGCTGTGTGGTTTTCGTGTCTCTGCTGCGTGGTTGTGACCCGTGTCTCTGCTGTGTGGTTTTCATGTCTCTGCTGTGTGGTTTTCGTGTCTCTGCTGTGTGGTTGTGACCCGTGTCTCTGCTGTGTGGTTTTCGTGTCTCTGCTGTGTGGTTTTCGTGTCTCTGCTGTGTGGTTGTGACCCGTGTCTCTGCTGTGTGGTTATGACCCGTGTCTCTGCTGTGTGGTTGTGACTCGTGTCTCTGCTGTGTCTGATTTGTTACAACAAACTGCAACTTTATTGACTTACTTTATCTTTTTAACTGATGCACATCGTGTGTGATTTTCTGGACACAATTCAAATTGTCTCTGCTGTGTGGTTGTGACTCGTGTCTCTGCTGTGTGGTTTTCATGTCTGTGCTGTGTGGTTGTGACTCGTGTCTCTGCTGTGTGGTTGTGACCCATGTCTCTGCTGTGTGGTTTTGACCTGTGTCTCTGCTGTGTGGTTGTGACCTGTGTCTCTGCTGTGTGGTTGTGACCCGTGTCTCTGCTGTGTGGTTTTCGTGTCTCTGCTGTGTGGTTGTGACCTGTGTCTCTGCTGTGTGGTTGTGACCCGTGTCTCTGCTGTGTGGTTTTCGTGTCTCTGCTGTGTGGTTTTCGTGTCTCTGCTGTGTGGTTGTGACCCGTGTCTCTGCTGTGTGGTTATGACCCGTGTCTCTGCTGCTTGGTTGTGACTCGTGTCTCTGCTGTGTCTGATTTGTTACAACAAACTGCAACTTTATTGACTTACTTTATCTTTTTAACTGATGCACATCGTGTGTGATTTTCTGGACACAATTCAAATTGTCTCTGCTGTGTGGTTGTGACTCGTGTCTCTGCTGTGTGGTTTTCATGTCTGTGCTGTGTGGTTGTGACTCGTGTCTCTGCTGTGTGGTTGTGACCCATGTCTCTGCTGTGTGGTTTTGACCTGTGTCTCTGCTGTGTGGTTGTGACCCGTGTCTCTGCTGTGTGGTTGTGACCCGTGTCTCTGCTGTGTGGTTTTCGTGTCTCTGCTGTGTGGTTGTGACCCGTGTCTCTGCTGTGTGGTTTTGACCTGTGTCTCTGCTGTGTGGTTGTGACCTGTGTCTCTGCTGTGTGGTTGTGACCCGTGTCTCTGCTGTGTGGTTGTGACTCGTGTCTCTGCTGTGTGGTTTTCGTGTCTCTGCTGTGTGGTTGTGACCTGTGTCTCTGCTGTGTGGTTGTGACTCGTGTCTCTGCTGTGTGGTTTTCGTGTCTCTGCTGTGTGGTTGTGACCTGTGTCTCTGCTGTGTGGTTGTGACTCGTGTCTCTGCTGTGTGGTTTTCATGTCTCTGCTGTGTGGTTGTGACCTGTGTCTCTGCTGTGTGGTTGTGACTCGTGTCTCTGCTGTGTGGTTTTCATGTCTCTGCTGTGTGGTTGTGACCCGTGTCTCTGCTGTGTGGTTGTGACCCGTGTCTCTGCTGTGTGGTTTTGACCTGTGTCTCTGCTGTGTGGTTGTGACCTGTGTCTCTGCTGTGTGGTTGTGACCCGTGTCTCTGCTGTGTGGTTTTCGTGTCTCTGCTGCGTGGTTGTGACCCGTGTCTCTGCTGTGTGGTTTTCATGTCTCTGCTGTGTGGTTTTCGTGTCTCTGCTGTGTGGTTGTGACCCGTGTCTCTGCTGTGTGGTTTTCGTGTCTCTGCTGTGTGGTTTTCGTGTCTCTGCTGTGTGGTTGTGACCCGTGTCTCTGCTGTGTGGTTATGACCCGTGTCTCTGCTGTGTGGTTGTGACTCGTGTCTCTGCTGTGTCTGATTTGTTACAACAAACTGCAACTTTATTGACTTACTTTATCTTTTTAACTGATGCACATCGTGTGTGATTTTCTGGACACAATTCAAATTGTCTCTGCTGTGTGGTTGTGACTCGTGTCTCTGCTGTGTGGTTTTCATGTCTGTGCTGTGTGGTTGTGACTCGTGTCTCTGCTGTGTGGTTGTGACCCATGTCTCTGCTGTGTGGTTTTGACCTGTGTCTCTGCTGTGTGGTTGTGACCCGTGTCTCTGCTGTGTGGTTTTCGTGTCTCTGCTGTGTGGTTGTGACCTGTGTCTCTGCTGTGTGGTTGTGACCCGTGTCTCTGCTGTGTGGTTTTCGTGTCTCTGCTGTGTGGTTTTCGTGTCTCTGCTGTGTGGTTTTCGTGTCTCTGCTGTGTGGTTGTGACCCGTGTCTCTGCTGTGTGGTTATGACCCGTGTCTCTGCTGCTTGGTTGTGACTCGTGTCTCTGCTGTGTCTGATTTGTTACAACAAACTGCAACTTTATTGACTTACTTTATCTTTTTAACTGATGCACATCGTGTGTGATTTTCTGGACACAATTCAAATTGTCGTGTCGCTGTGTGGTTTTCATGTCTGTGCTGTGTGGTTGTGACCCGTGTCTCTGCTGCTTGGTTGTGACCCGTGTCTCTGCTGTGTGGTTGTGACTCGTGTCTCTGCTGTGTGGTTGTGACCCGTGTCTCTGCTGTGTGGTTGTGACTCGTGTCTCTGCTGCTTGGTTGTGACCCGTGTCTCTGCTGTGTGGTTGTGACCCGTGTCTCTGCTGTGTGGTTGTGACCTGTGTCTCTGCTGTGTGGTTGTGACTCGTGTCTCTGCTGTGTGGTTGTGACCCGTGTCTCTGCTGTGTGGTTGTGACCCGTGTCTCTGCTGTGTGGTTGTGACTCGTGTCTCTGCTGTGTGGTTGTGACCCGTGTCTTTGATGTGTGGTTTTGTTTCTCCCAGCTCGCCCTGCTCGTCGCCTTCCTGTGCGTCCACCTGGTTCGGGGTTGGCCCAGCTGGGCCGCCTTCCAGTTTTTTGAGGTGGTGACGCTGTGGTTCCTCATCGCCCTCATCATCTTCTTCCTCATGCATCTCTTCAGGCTGCAGGGAAAGATGCCCTGCATCAACTGGCCGCTGACGGTGAGGACAGTCACACCAGTGTGTGTTTAAATATTTGAAGCTGCAGCAGGTTCATCAGCAGTGTGCATATTAATGTCTTCACACTCTCACTTCTGCTTTTCCACTGAACTTCTGTAATACAGATCTGACTACAGAGTTACATAACAGGAACTTCAGCCAAATTGAAAAGGAAGGAGGGAAGCATCTGTAGTAAAGGGAGAGTTGCAAGTGTCAGTGTCATCTCATTAGTTCATATTAAATTAACTAAATTCCTGTTTTTATTTTAAGCCAAAAAGCCAAAGTTTCCTCTTAAGTCTCTCATTTTAACACAGAAAGTAGCCACCAACAACTGCCATTGTTTTACAAACTGTTCATTGAATATCTTAAGTCAATTGAGCTGTTTCTGAAACACAGCTAAAATGACTTACTGTTTGGATGAAATATTTCACAGGATATTCAGAAAGTTTGTGTTTTTTTTGGCTCAGTGACCTGATCTGCCTTCTAAGCAGGAAGTTCCAACTCTGAAAAGTGAAGTCAGAGTTGAAGCACCTTAAACCTGCATCGGTTCTAACAGCCAGCAGTTCAGCTGCCGTCATCTCGACCGCACCTTATGAGAAAATGAGGCTACGGCTGTATTCGGAACCGCCTACTACATACTACTGGCAACCGCAGTATGTACTGTATACTGTATTAGGGTTGGGCCGACAGACCATGCCATCGTCCATCGGTGTTGGCAGACAGATGGTCGATCGTTGAGCAGGGTTGATTGTTCCACCCGCCATCCATATAGAAACCCAATCATATACTGTATGCAGTATGTAGTATACAGTATGAAACTGTTATATGATATATTTTGCAGTATGCCATGTCAGGCTTAGCCAGTTTCCAGTTTTCAAAATCAGAACAAAAGGAGGAATCTCCTTTTGTTCTGATAAATATAAAAACTTTTTTTTTTTTTTATTGTATGTAAGGAGAACAAGCCTGCAGTCTGTAGCAGATGTTTGCTTTGGTATATTGGTGCATAAATAAGAATTATATGCAATAAAAGCAAATAAAAAAGCTAGTACTGTAACCACAACTGTATCATTACACTAACAAAGTGATGTCTATTTAGAATAATGATAATAATAAAGCAGCAAGAGATTTGAAATCTACACAGTTGATTTCTCACCTCAAAACTTGTTAGGAGTGGATTTAGTGATGAAATACCGTATGAAAATTGTAAAACAAGTTCTGTTGTCTTCCTCTAAAAAAATAATGGTTGTTGTTACAGTTGTAGCGCTTTGCATTATGGGCCACAGTACGCGAGATAGACAGCAGATTTTTTCCAAATCAGTACGCCATCCGGGTGTTTTTGGCACACTGCAGATTTTGCCTTTGGTTGCATACTACATACTACATTTCACTACAAATCAGTACGTACTACTAGTATAGTAGGCGGTTTCGAATACAGCCTACTTCTCAGCTGATTTATTACCTCAGTAAACACTTTCCTAATGAGTTTATGGTCTCAGTCACTAGTTTCAAGTTGCTAGTTTCAAGTCTTCTTCAACACAACATAATGTTCATTTAGTAGATTATGGTCCCATTTAGAGCAAAATAGACCAGAAAGGGAGGCTTTAGGGCGGGGCTACAAGGTGATTAACGAGTGGTGATCTGTCAATCAGGATAGAGGCGACTCATATCCACGCCGTTGAAAAAGCTTATTAGGAGTCGGCTGTTCATTTTTACAGTAAGTACGTTTTGTCTTAAAGAGGTGGTATTCTGGCTAGTAGTCCTTAACTAGGAACTGAGCATGTGCAACTCCCAACAAAGATCATGTAGAGACAAGATGTATCACTCCATAGCTAAAACGAAGCCTTCAACACAGGCTGAAAAGAGGAGCTGCAGCAATGTGCAGTATGACAAAAAATATGGTGTTTTTTGAAAATTAAACCATGTAAACCCGTTCTGGTACAACCCCTAAAAAAGATTATGAACCTGAAAATGAGCATAATACCACCTCTTTAAGTCTGTTTGTTGCTAGCCAAAATTAGAATCCCAGTAAAATCAGTTAACGTGAATTACAGATGCACCTTGCCAACCAAGCTAGCTAGCTCCACCATCACGTCCACGTTCGAGCTGTTTCTCAATACAGAGTTTGCCAAGTTCGAACTTCTGTACTTTAAAGCTTGGACTTGGCAAGTTTGGCTCAGGAGTACAAACTCTGAGGAACGGGAGCAGTCTGTCGTTCAGCAATTGGAACAGCCGCGGACTTGATGGCGGCCTGACCCGTTAGCGGGTAGGACCTCACATCTCCGAGAACGTTGTAGCAAATATTTTAATCAGCTCTGTCTTGACAAATCAACCACATATTTGGAGTTTAAACAACTATATTCCCTCATAAAAAACCTCTTAAAACTGCATTTCATGACACAAGAACAGCAGTATAATAACTTACAGTTGTGAGTTTTCTCCTCCGATAATTCCGCTTCTTGGCGGCGAAATGTAAACTGGGATATCTGGCTAACCGAAGTCACCACCGATGTAGGCTCGGTAAAAGAGGCGGAGCAAGAACACATCCGGGTATTTGACTGTACTTGGCTGGATGCGGACTTTTGAATTGGAACAGTACAACATTGGCTGCGACTGATTACGTTTCACAAGAACACAAACACACAAGAACGCAGATTGAGAAACAGCCATGGTCATGTCCGGTTTCAAATAACCAAAATACCAAACTGGAGGCTTCAAAACGGTAGTTTACACCCTCTTCTTTTATATTGTTTAGGCTGCCTGTAGCACTGAGTTGGTGATTTGCAGGTTAAAAGTGCACTAACTTTGTTTGAAAGCTGATATTTCAGTTTATAGTTGGGATGTGTTTCACAATGAAATAACTAGACATCAAAAACAGAAACCATATAGAGCTCAGTTGTCACCTGAGTCCAGGCTGAAACAGCAGCGGTGTTAAAGTACATATAAAAAGATAAGAAATGCCGACTACACTGTTTAATCCAGATGATATGTTGGTGTGAAGCCTGTATGAAGAAATCTCCTGCTGGTGTTCGAGGTTATTAGAAAGTTTCCTTCTTGGTGTCTTTGATTAAAACTTCTTCCGTCACTCAAGCAAATCTTTTTTTGCTGTTTCAGGAGTTCTTTCATTACTCTGTCGGGACCATCCTCATCTTCATCGCCTCCATCGTCGCTGCTGTGAAGGCCACAGGAGTTTCAGCGCTGGTGGCTGCATCGGTACGTAAATACAGACACTGCGATACCTGGGAAAATCTAGAAAGCACTGACTAGAAACACAAACAGTTAATTTTATTCCCCTTTTTATTGAAAATGCCTGACAGTGTGCTTCTTAATATATAATTGCAAACATATTCTGCCCTTTATCTTAATGAAAATATGTTAAATGTCATTTTTAGAACATGAACACAAACAGCCTTAAATGTGAATAATCCTTAAATTTCTGCTTTGAATCATATTAAGTGATTTACAGTTACATATAATTTATTATAAAAGGTCAGCCTGTCACTTCCCATGACGTATCCACCTGATTGTTCTCGGTTCTGGAAGGTACTGCGTTCTGTACGTGCTGATGTAGTTTGGCATATCAGTCTTGTACAGGGTCAGAAAAAATTGCTTTGTTTCAATCGTCCCGGCTCTCCACTATATTATGAAATAAAACATAATAATATAAGGTGAAAGGTAGTTATATAGTATATCATAATGTACAGTATAGTAGATCAATATAGCATAGAATATACAATAGAATAAAGTATAGTAGAATATGTAATGAATGATAATCAGTAGTGTAATATATAATAAATACTTGCAAATCAGTCCAACCTGTCAGACCTCTAGAGTTTTCGCAGACTGGGTGGATGTCTGTGGTTCCTGGAAGCAGAGGCAGAGTGAGACCTCTGTCCGTTCGCCATCTACACCAAAACAAAACCATTACCGTCCCGTTGGGAGTCCCCCACCCCCCCTGTCCTTCCTGCGTCTCTCCCTCTAATTACACAGGAAGTCACACTGACCTCAAATCTCCCCGTCTCCTCCGGCAATCACAGAATCCGTTCTGTATTTCATTGTTTTATTAAACTTTGTAAAATAAAAAAACAAATGTCCACTTCATGAACCGCTGGATTTATATGACATGTTTTCTTGTTAACATGGCCTCTGTTGTGTGTTTGTCTGTAGGTATTTGGGTTCATAGCGACGTTCCTGATGGCCGTTAGTTTGTGGACATCCTACAGTGTGACCTGTGGCCCTCATCAGACTGGTAATGTCTGATCTGTTTTTAACATTTCATTTATTTTATATTTAGCCGCTCCTTGTCTGCTTCTGGGTGCCGCAGTAACACATACGGCACACAAACACATCACAACACAACAGGACATTTTAGTGACGAGTAGAGCCCGGCGTGCTGACATTATCAAACGACCTAATTGTAGATAAGTCTGCATCGGTGTTTCTAACAGCCGATTAAGGACGATTAAAAAATGAAGCGGAAACGATTAATCAGTTAAATAGATTAATTAAATTACTAAAAAGCATCGCAAGCAGCATGCAAATTATTTGCATTGAGGCTTTGTTTAGTCCATATAAAACGGACATTTATTACTTTCACAGATCGCACTTACGTTGTGAACACGACATGATTATGATGTCGCTGTTTGCAAAGTGGAGGAAGAGAGAGAAAATAGCGATGGACAAAGAAAGTGTCCAAAGTATGGGATTATTTCAAGCTGTAATGTAACAGTCTCTCCACCGCAAAACGAAACTTGTGTCAGCGACCAACAGCGCGACGAGTAATGTTACAGTCTCTCCACCGTAAAAATAAACTTGTGTCAGCGACCAACAGCGCGACGAGTAATGTTACAGTCTCTCCACCGTAAAAATAAACTTGTGTCAGCGACCAACAGCGCGACGAGTAATGTTACAGTCTCTCCACCGTAAAACGAAACTTGTGTCAGCGACCAACAGCGCGACGAGTAATGTTACAGTCTCTCCACCGTAAAACGAAACTTGTGTCAGTGACCAACAGCGCGACGAGTAATGTTACAGTCTCTCCACCGTAAAACGAAACTTGTGTCAGCGACCAACAGCGCGACGAGTAATGTTACAGTCTCTCCACCGTAAAACGAAACTTGTGTCAGCGACCAACAGCGCGACGAGTAATGTTACAGTCTCTCCACCGCAAAACGAAACTTGTGTCAGCGACCAACAGCGCGACGAGTAATGTTACAGTCTCTCCACCGTAAAACGAAACTTGTGTCGACGATACAAGTCAGTTGATATCAGTCGGGCTCTAGTGACAACATTTTAAACCAGTTACACTAAACTGTGAATAGCAGTAAAAACAGCAGTATTATTACAGGGAGGGAGACACAAATAGCTTCTGCTTATACCTCCACGCAGTAATTTATCTAATACAGCATATTGTAAATTCAGGAAAAGACAAACAGTTTTGAGAACATGTTTTCACTGCAGAGATGTTCAGCATTTTCCTTTTGAAAGAATGACGGCTCCTGTTCAGAGGAGTTTCGTCTGGGCGAGGGTGGTATGCACATGTTTAGACACTCTGCCGTAGTTCAAACTTGAGTTAAGCCCTGTTGTTTACATTCGCTGGTTGACTCAGTTGTGGTGGTGGGGGTGCACAGTAGAGCGTTGATGTGAGCAGAGACGTGAGATGTTCAATGTGAAAGATCGAGTCCCTCGGTACTTTACGGAGTCAGTATATTAAAACAAAATATTATCAACACATACAATATGATGTATTATTATTGATTAAGCCTCACGGCATTAAATAGAAGAATTAGAAAGACCAGCTGCAACATTAAAGTGATACATCTATCAGTAAATATAATCCATTATTATAAGTACATTTTTCTGAAATGAGCCAATCAGTGTAATTAGTAATTTTACCTTTTATTAATCTCATCGCTCTGAAATCTCATGGCGAGTTGTTGCAAGAAGACGACCCTAGAAACAAGGGAGAGCAGTCGTCTTCCTGCAACCACTCGCCTCTCATGAGATTTCAGAGCGAGACTTTAGTTTCCTGTTACAACCAAAGGTGGTCACAGGGAGTCCCTCGTAGGGATCCTGTCCATGTTGTTGTCAGACACCACAAAGGTTCTCAAACTCACTCAGACTGTTGCACTGGTGTTAAACTATGACGGTGAATACGAAGTTGGTTAGTTGAGTCGCGAGCTCCGTATTTTCCCCAGAAGAAAGCACGTTTATAGTGTCAGGATATGAGGAGTTTAAAGACACGTTAACGGTGGCTGACAAAGTCAGGGAGGCTTGTTGGCTTCGCATTCAGTGAATTTGTAATTATCTTCACAGTGTTCTTTATGTAGGCTAATTCTCTATTATTTATTTATGGACTCTTCTTTAATGTATAATATCATTAAGATGTAGCCTAAAGGTACAAATGCACATTATGTCCATTGTATTAAAAAAATGGACATGGAGAGGGGGAAAGATTTTCCAGGATGAAAGTAGTAGATTCACGAGAAACTAAAAGTCTAAAAATTTGAATATTCTCTGACATTGTAGTCAAACAGTTATGAGAGAAAAAGTGTTTTTCATTCAAGGAACCATGTCGCTTCACTTTGCAAGGCTGCAGCATCACACACACACCTCTGCCGTGTATTATGCATGCAGTGGAAAATTATATTAGAGTTCACAATCGGACTTAGCGCAGGGAGGAAATACTCGCGAGTTTAGCCCACAATCTCTACATTATCATGCACCTTAGAGACTGCCGTGGACTGGTTGTATTCAGAAGAAAATACCAAAGTGATGTTTGATTTTTTGTGACTTAAATTTCAGGGAATTTCTGATTTTTGTTCTTGTAAATTTGACACTTTCATTAAGGATTTCTTTTTCTCAGTTTATTAACCCCCACCCTGGCTACGTATTTTTTGGAGAATTCAATTGTAGACTACAGATGAGCTCCATCTAAGAAACTATCCCGTTTTGAGATGCAGCGTAAATCACCATGGCAACAGACCTCGGGTACCACCTTTTGTAGTACGGGTTAATCAGGAAGTTACACCTAAAGTTACCTGGATAAGACGGTTACCTCGCTTTGTAGTATAGGTCTCAGGTTAAACAGTCTGAGCCTGTCGCTGGCAAAAGAAGCACTTTTTGTGGACGCCATTTTGACGGACTGCTTTTTCTTTTACCGCTATCAAGTGCAGCGGAAATCCTTCATTTACAAGTCAAACGTGTGAAGAAAAACCCGGCTGGTTGGATGCAGTGTACCTCACAGTGTCACCTTTTCTCACTTCAGTTTCCTGTTAAAGCTTTTGATATTCAACAGCAGTGATGGAAAGTACGTTTACTCAAGCACTTATGAGGTACTTCTGCTTTAGTATTTCCATTTTTTCCATACTTCTACTCCACCAAAGGGAAATATTGTACTTTTTACTGCACTATATTAACGTGATAGTTTACTTTGCGGATTCAGATTAATGAAACAAAATCTAATCAACAGTACGAAGAATTATAGGTTTATAAGACTTTATTGATCCCTGGAGAACATGCACCTGCTATCCAGCAGTATATAAATCAGTTCAAATTAGCTCCACCTTGTGTGATGTACATATTAATGTATCAATAATCCTAATATATATATTATTCTGAAAGGGGCCAATCTGCATAATGACTACTTTCACTTTTGGTCCTTAAAGTGGATATTGGTGCTAATACTTTTTTACTTTTACTCAAGTAACATTTTGAGAGCAGGACGTTTACTTACTACTTTATTTCTACTTTTACTTAACAGGGCTCCAGACTAGCTTTCTGCATTGCTTGCACTGGTGAACCAAAATGTTTTATTTAGCTGCACCACTACAAAATCCAATTTTTCACAGCACCTGTAGCGCCATAGCAGTACATTCTAACCTTCGTCATTTGATTTGATTTGATTTTCTTGGACAGTAACACAAGTAAATGCATAAAAAGATGCCATCACAGTGACAAATACACATTTACCAGAACTGTCGAGGATAACACAAGAAAGTTACAAACTTACTTCCATTGTGGTCTTCGTACCCAAATACATAAATAGTTATGTAGATGATTGTAAACAGGAACACCTGCAGGTTGTTTGAATCACAGCACAAACATAAAATGGCCAAAACGTCATTGTAAAACAAGAAATAACTCAAAAATGTGTGCTGCTCTCAGATGCTTATAGAAAATGTAAATACACGTCGCGGTGACGCAGACCACAAGAACTGTGATTGGTCAGCTTGGAAGCATCATTTCCTCCGAGCTCACAGGAAGTGCTCCGTGCTTTGAAGCCAGTTTTACTAGCGGCCAAACGAGCAGCTGTAAATCAGTGGATAATTTCTTCTTTTTAAAGAATTTAATCCATCCGGTGGATAACATTTGGAAAGCCGAAAGAGGCGCAGGATTATTATTTTAACCCCATACCAGTGGGGTACTTCTTCCACCTCTGAAGAGACGCACTGTGTTTCAGTAAGGAATGCTAATCAATGTTAATTGGCCATTAAAGGGGAACTGAGAGGCAGAATATATAAGATTCCTTCCTACACTGAAGCAACTATTTGTTTCGTAAAAGAAACCTAAACTGATAATCAGCCATGTGAAACAGATTCACATGATGGAAAGAATTTTTATCCTGCAGTGAGCTAACTCCCTACATTTCTGCTTATCTCCTGCACCCTTCCATCCTCCCTCCCTCCCTCCCTCCCTCCCTTCCTCCCTCCCGTCCTCCCTTCCTCCCTCCCGTCCTCCCTTCCTTCCTTTCTCCCCTGCAGGTGCAGCAGTGTAATCAGCGATCCATCGTGAAGGAACCAGATGTCGACAGTTTGCTGTGTTCTGGCTTATCTTTCTGCAGAGCGAAGCGCCTGGATAAGATAACTTGATTTGATTATAATTCTTTACTGCAGAGGTAATTGGAACAGCTGATCCAGGACCAGCCATCGTTTTCAGCATCTGAGACATAAATATCCTCCGATCATCACAGTAAAAACCCTGAGAGGACAGTAGTGAACAGCTTTACTCATTTATCATTGAATCCTAAAGTCACATGTTCGTGTTAAAGGTGCTCGGTGTCACATTTTAACCTTCTATATATCAGTAACACATTCGATGGATCTGTATCAACAAATGAGTGTGTGGTGCAAACAATCAGTCATCTGTTGTCATTTCCCATGATCCCTGCTGCTTCCCGCACCGACTTTACCTCCCCGAAAAGGTCGCCATTTTGGTTTTATAGGGATTTTTTTGTTTGTTTTTTGTTTGCTAAGTTTTCCTCTACTTCCACCATCTGCTGTCAAAGATTTAGAGAAGCTTTTTGTAAAAGTTTAAGCTGTGTTAGCTCTGAAGGAACAGAGCCCTCTTCCTGTTGTGTGCCATAAAAAGACATTCAGACGATTTCCCTTCCCAAAAACAGCCAGTCACGCAGATCTGCGTGCCTTTGTAGCATCTCCTCTGTGGTTTACAGTAGCTTAAAGCTTGATTTGCTTTGATTGGTGATCAAACGTCTCATCCATTCCTACTTTTTTTATTCCACTCAGAGCTCAAGCAGTCTGGACCACGGATGTATTAAACTCTTTTTAACTAAATCACTTTTCTTAAATGCCCAGCAATGAAATGATGCACAGTATATAGCCCTGTTAGCCTGCTATGCTAATTTTTGCTAGCACACTAAAATATCAAAATGCAAAAATTGTCATTATTCTAGGGTGCTAACAAACATTAACAAGCTAATATTTTTACAGAAAACAACTTGCATGCTAATGACTTTGTTAGCATGCTAAAACACTTCTCAGGGCTTAATACTTATGTGTGCTAAAACAATAGCATGCTAAGAATTTATGTGAATTGAATCAAGGAAAACATTAGCATGCTAACAATGCAAACAAACACATGAAAAAGTGCTGCATCTCTGTGTAATTAAAAGAAGGCTGGTGATTATCAACAAATCCATACATGCAGAACCAAACCAACTGAATTGATCAGCTAACAAGTTTGTCTGAAACAAATGTAGATTAATCCGCCGCTGAAAATAGTCCCCAAATATTTCCTCCTGTTTTAGGAAACAACTGAGTCTTTTTAAACATGAAACTATATATTTATGAGGTCTTTGTAAAGATTTACGTCTTCAGGAGGAACCAAAGGGCTCGGAGCTGAGAGCCACAGAAGGGACGTCAGAAAGAGACGGACCGACATGTTGATGTTTTGAGTCTGAACAAGAGATTTTTTGGACAAAAAAAAGTAGAATAGCACCGGTGATTTCCTTCAAACAGTAATCTCACTACTGTTTTAAAAAATAATGTGCATAATAGTGAACCAAGCCTTTCTGGATCTGGGTGGTGCAGTAACACCCATGAAGCATCACATTAACGTCCCACCGTCAGAGAACAGTCAACACGCTAATCAATTTGCTGTTAACTTCAGCAGCTGTGTCTGACTCTGCAGCATTTATTACAGTTTCATTACAACATGCTGTCCAGTATTTCCTCACAGACAGCACATGCAGGACTGTCCTTGGTGCTTTTAAACAAAACAACCATTTGAATTTCAAATCTGAATTTCATGCACGCAGAAAGCACATCAATTACAGTTTGAAATTATGCCAAAAAAGAGAGCGCCGTGTCAACATTATAATAAAGTGATTAGGGTTTCTGTTGAGCCTGTAAGGGGGTCGTATGGTGGAGAAAACTAGTGGTGTTGCAATCTGTTTGCACAGATTAATAGATTTATTGCATACATTAAAAAAGTGCACTGATCAGTAAAGTATGTAATAAAGCAAATAATGAGCGAATAAAAAAACACATAGATATTATGAATTATAAAGAATACATACACACGTTTTAATGAAATGTACACACTAGGGCTGCAACTAACGATTATTTTCATTGACTTATCTGCCGACTACTTTCACGATTAATCGACTAATCGTTAAGTCTATAAAATGTCAAGAAATTGTGAAAAATGCTCATCACAATTTTCCAGAGCCCTAAGCGCCGTCTTCAAATTGCTTCTTTGGTCCAACCAACAGTCCAAAACCGAAAGACTCTTCATTTACTATCATAAAGAATAGCAGCAATTCCTCAATTTAAGAAGATGAAACCAGCAAATTTTTCACATTTTTGCTTAAAAAATGCCTGAAACGATTTATCGATTATGAAAAGAGGTGTCGATTAATTTTCTTTCAACCGACTTATCGAATAATCGACTAATCGTTGTGGCGCTAGTACACGCAGATCAGAAACATTTACACAAACATGTACGGATTAATAAAAGTCACACATGCACACACAACTTACATAATGAATGTAAATGCATATATATATATATATATAAGCTGTCTACAAGAAACAATAAAACTGACAATAATAGTAAATATAAAACATACGTGCAAATTAATAAAAAAATTATCAAAATGTACTAAAGGGATAAATTGTATGCACAGATTAATGAACTAAACTAAAGAGATAACAAAGAAATGCGTCTGGTATTCAGATTAAAAGCAGGCAAATGCTTAAAAGTAATGCAGCATTTAAGTCTAATAGCAACTAAATGAAAGCACAGACTCACAACGGGTGTCATAAAATAGTGAAAGTATTACTAATATCCGGTATTCAACGTTAGCCATTGTACAATTCTCTTTGACTGTTAAAGCACAAGAAACCTCTACTGGCCTGGACGTTATCCCTGCATGTTGTTGTATTTTCACTATTTGCCCGACTTTAAATTTTTAATCTGTGCTTTCCTTTAGTGAGTGTGAACATTTTATTAATCTGTGCACATCAGATTTCCACATCATACGGCCCCCCCGCTCCTTGGCCTTCTGACCAATCGGAGCATCTGTGACGTTGAACAGAAGTCTTAATAAAACACAGGACAGGATTAAAATGCAGTTTGTCTTTTAGTTCTATAAACATTTCAGATGGATTGAATATTTAATCGAAGCTAAGTGGTGAAGCGCACTGCTAAATGACCGGATGTTAAGTCAGCTGTAGAAAATGGCCGTGCTAGGACGTGATCATTCCTCCAAAACCAGGGCTGGTTATCATCATCAGCTCGGTATTTTCAGGAACAGTGCAGATAAGAGACTGGAGGTGTGTTTTGGTACAAAGTCATTTTCTTACTTGATAAAAAGAAGCCAGAGATCTGAAATGTTAAGTTTTCTAATTACTAATAAATAAATGTAAATGTCTGCAAGAACTTTGGCTAAAATCAGAAATCAGAGGAAAAAGTTAACAGGATTAAGAATCTTAACGAAACTTTTAGCACTTAATGCTACGGATATATCTTAGTCTTTACCCCTAAATAGTAGCTAGCACAGCTAATATTAGCTTGCTAGCTCTCTACACTTAGGCTGTCAAAACAGGCTAAACTGCTGTCTCAGAAGGTGTCTAACAGGACAGCGAGGCGCGAGTTCTGTTCCAAACGACTCCAACGATCTCTTCCTGTCGCGTAAGACGCCTTCAAGCTGCCCCCGTAATGGCTGGTTTTGGAGGCAGCATCGATGCTGACTTGATGCTGCCTATTACCCATAAACCAGCACGGCTGTGGCCTCCATAGCTTTGAAAACTGCTCAAGATGGCGGAAAAACAAGCCGAATTTGTTCACAAATATAAAAGGTTTTTAGTAGTTTTCTCGCTTCGATTTTTGAAAAGCTAGCAAGAACTAAACACCAAGTTTGTTCAGTCTGATTTCTGAGGCGTCTGGTAGCCATTTGGCTTTTCAATAGCTAGTTAGCTGATGCTAAGGCTAGCGTCTCTATTCTGACAGCCAGAAGAGACGCAAGACGGTGTGCCGATGTCGCGCGTTGCTGTAAGATCTGCCCTAGAAGGCTGTTTGAAACCGATGTTAACAGAAATGCCTTCAATTGAAAGTGATGCTTTCTGAGGCAACGAGGCAACTGGCTTCCGTTTCCGAACACAGCCCTAGTTTGCTAACAAAGGTTAGCTCGTTAGCAACAGAGATCTGAGGTGTACACGTTGCATTCATGAATGCTATTTCTGCTAATTCAAGTTATATTCATGACCAGCTAATGCTACCATAACGCAGTCCCCATTGTTGACATTAGTAATGTTGCTTAATAACTTTTTTATTGGTTTACCCACAGTATCAAACTGGTTTTACTAGATTAACGTAGTAGTTTCACTTTACAGTAAAAGTAAAGCCTCGTTAGCGGTGAAAGAAGACAGGGAGGAACAGACCCAACTCAAAATTAGCTCATTAGCTTACAAGCTAATTCTAGCACAACTTGGCCTATTTGTTGTTAATCAAAACGAGATAACTTTTTCCCTTCATTTTAATTTAATGAAAACTCACAGAAGTCAGTTTGTACATCGTTCAAGTTTAGCTAACCTACTATGACTGTTTTTAACCAGTCATATTATTTATGCTGCTGTGAAATGTTTGTAGAATTAAAAATTGTACCTGCTGTTTAAATCTGGGTGCTAAAAGAAACAGAAATATGATTTTAGCGGGAAGGTTTTTCTGCCATTTGTTGTTACAAAACTCTTGATGATGCGAAACTGAACTCTGCCTTCATTCGGAGACGTTGATCCTCAGATTACTGCCTTACTGTTGATCAGATGCCAAAAAAAAATCTTAGTGAGTCTTCAGACGTTGCACTGAATGTGTCCTTACATTTCCTCTGACGCAGCTCCCGAGTTCAGAACAAAGGATTCACGTCCAATATGATTAAAAATCGAATGTTTCACTTTGACTGTGACCACGTGGACGTAGGGCTGGGCGATATGGCCAAAATTGTCATCACGATAAAAACATTTCATATCATTATCGATATCGATAATTATCACGATAAATGTGAAATCGTTATTTCTTTCAAGTTTAAAGGCTGATTTTTGCTCCTGAGTGAAAATTGAAGAAAGCAGATGGTTCATTATGTGCTTAAAAAAAATTTTATGGTCAGAATGTGACAAACATTTGATGCCAAACAGTGGATCACTTCACAAATCTGAGGTGGAACATTCAAAACTAATGTGATAAAATCTGTTTTCAACAAATATGACTAGTTAATCTTTTTTCAGGCCTCTTTTTCTCAACAAAATAAATATTTTTAATAGAAAAATTAAGCGCTAATTTGTCCATGATTCAAATGAATTAAAGCAAATATTTATTGACGATATATTGAACATTTATTAGATTGTTATTGAGGAAAATTATATTGCGATAATTATCAGTATTTTTTTTATTGCCCAACCCTACGTGGACGTTTAGGTTTACTGGCCAAATTACAGGTGATTTAAATACAGATTGTTGTCTTACTTCTGGTGCATCCCTCAAAGCCCCTACACACTGTGCGATAACAGCGTCCTAATGCAGGTCACTCTGTGAGACGGGTATAATGAAATTGTAAGATTCAGAATGTACGATTAACGTTAGTGTTATACAACAAAAATGTTCAATTTTGGATTTGTGAGTACCACGAAACTGACCTTAACCCAACATGGATTAATTGATTTTCCAAATAAAACAAGGGACCTGATCCGACATGGAGCCGAGGACAGTAGGACTGTTTTAGTTTTTATGTTCAAACTAAATTAAAGTTTGAATGCAGACCACACCTGATTTATACTTCTGTGCTGAGTCTACGTGCGTAGCCTTCGCAGTAAGCTTGTCTGCGCCGCCGTGCAATTACACCGCCAAAACGCTACATAGCCACATGTTTCGTCTTCTGCACGCCGAGCTGGCTGCCTTCCGGTTTAGCCCTCCGCCGGGTTTAAAATAATTATCGCGGGCTCTTTTAGACTTTTCAAATCTTATCAAATGGATCAGTCATTACACGGGGGTTGTGAAGCTTTAAAAAATGTTCCCAAAGTTTTACAGCCGCTTGTTTGGCCACAAGTAAAAATTGGATTCGAAGCACGGAGCACTTACTCTGAGATATGAGGAAATGCGATGCTGCTAAGCTGACCAATCACTGTTCTTGCTGTCTGCATGGCTGCGACGTGTAGTTACATTTTTGGGGAGGTGCCGTTGGCCACGGCGTAGACTCGACGCAGACGGATAAATCAGACTTGATCCTAGACTGTGCTCTAGAATTGATGGTGTTATTCACCTCAGCTGCCTCACTTAATTGATGGCGTAGGCTACGGGGCTACGCAGAGGCTACCTCTGACGTGCACCTCCTCAAAAATGTAACTACACGTCGTGGCGGACCGAAAGCACTGCCATTGGTCGGCTGGGTAGCCTTGCAATGCCTCAGAGCCGACAGGAAGTGTCCCGTGCCTTGAAGTAACTTCTACTAGCGGCCAGAACGGCGGCTGTAACATGGTGGATCGATATATTTGACCGTCACAACCCAAGCGAAATGAGTCAGGATATGATCCATTTGCGCGATAACATTTGAAAATGCTACACCAGCCGCATGGATACAGTTTTACCCCAATTCACGTTAGCGGAGCGCCAAACCAGAGGTTGGCCTGCTCGTCCGGCAAAAGTCAACACAGTGGACGCTGTAGCGCTGCCGCCAACTAGCGTTTGGAGGTGTAATTGCAGAACGACGGAGACACTGACGCACAAGTATAAATGCCTGGCTACGACCCTACGCAGGAGTATAAATCAAGCAAAGTAAGTCAGTGGAAGGAAGTTGCATTTTTGCACCGTTACATGCAGACAGCGTTAAATTCAGTCAGTTATGTTGAAGCCAAAATGTTTTCACATTGTTTTTAATTTATTCAAACAGTTTGGGAGAACGATCGCCCGTTCGGCACAGCTCGCTAGCTGTTTTGTTAACGAAGAAAACAACGACTGGTCTAGGTTTCGGAGAGGCATCGGTAGATCAGATCATGACTGTACGCCTCAACCCTGCTGGCAGCTCAAGGGGACCTTTGAAAAAAACGGATTAGACTGAATCCAATCCTCTGCTTGGACCCAGAAAAGCCTCTTGGTCATAGCAGCAAGTTCTAAATGTCTGAGACGATCCACAAAGCTCTTAATTGGTGGCTAAACTTGTCTCACAGTGTGGTCCAGCAGCACCGTTTTACAACGTCTCTCTCACGATTGTCCAGTTTTGTCTGAGGCGGCTGAGAATCGCACAGCGTGTAGGGCTCTGTACAGTGTTAACACCTATTCAAAAGCTGTTTTCTACCAAGTACAACATCGCTGCATTTCACTTTCAGATATTTTTTAAGATCGTTTTTTAAGTTTCCGTGATGGTTCACGTTTGCTATGTATTTGCTGCTTCACCGTACTGTATTTTATTCTTTGGTCTGGACCAGTTTGACAAATGAAAGCTTTATTTCTATTATAGATGCACTGATAAAACTTCTTAAAATGCCGATACCATTTTAGCTGACCACGATCTGGTCTGTTTAGGATCACTGGACAAACATATTTGAGACCTTTGAGCTTTAGTCAGTGTGCTTTGATTTTGGATTTCTATTAATGAACTTTTGATAGATTGAGTTTTTCCATCAGTATCTGCCCAGATTCCAGTTTTGGTATCGAATTTGGATATTTTTTATTGGTGCATCTGTTATTTTTTTCCACCCTGAAGCTGGATTTTATATTGCTGCCTGGAAGTTTTGGGTGGAGCCAGAATGAATCTCTCCATCAGTCACAGTTAGCTTTAGTATTATCCACTCCTTACAGGAAATCTTCTCACCACACAAACATCCGTCACAGATTCATTGTGGCTCCAGGCCGGACAAAACCAGACTGTTTACATTATTTATTTCGCATGTGTGTACTTTCTGATGCTTAATGATGTTATACTCACTGACGGAAAGTGGCCTGATGTGAGGCCGTTTGTCCATTGGGAGATACAGTATCCTGATAGAAGTGCTGATCCTGGACCATCATGCCATGTGTCAGTGTTCTGTAAATGATGGTTTTGGAAGGACTCTGGACCTGGAAATGTTGGTTACGTGGAGAGATTCTCATCGAATGGTGTATAGGTAGTCCTCCTATAGGTAACACAGAATGTGATTTATTCTGACAGAGAAAGGCCTCTTTCATTAACACCTCTAAAAACCATTTTAATAGGGACGCACCGAATATTCGGCCAGTGGAATTAATCGGCCAGCAACGTCCGGTTTTCAAAATAAGGCGTCTGTACAGGATGGAAATAAGATTAATTGGATCATATTCACAGAAAGTATAACACATATTACATGTGTCCATTAAAAGTAAATGGACTCATGTAATTTACTTTACCGGACCCTCTCGGGCCCCGGACCCCCCCACTATAGTCTCTGCACATCCTGTGGGAAACACTGAGGAAAAAGCTCATTTTGATATTTTTGTTTAATTTATGCAGTGGTTAAAAAAAAAAAAATATATATATTCGGCTTCGGGTGCATCCCTACATTTAAAACAGGATTTCTTTTAAGTTTCGTATTGACTTGAAGGACACCTTTCTCGGTCAAACTGGTTCATGTTTTTTGTTACTTTAAAGAGGTATTCTGCTCATTTTCAGGTTCAAAATCTTATTTTAGATGTTGTACCAGAACAGGTTTACATGGAAGGTGCAGTTGATCGCTGAGTTTGAATTTTCAACACAGCTTATGAATCTCTGAGTGACTGAAATTTCCAGGTTGTGTCCTTTCACAGCTCTGGATCAGCGCAAGTAGCTAATGAGCTAAAACAAAACACCAGTATTGTCCTCAAAGAATAATATCTGTGTGATCAAACCTGTGCTCTGTTTTCACAAATGTTGGAGTTGAAATGACTCGTCGGTACAAAAACTTTTGAATATGTGCAGTAGAAGCTTCAGCCGGCAGCAAAAACTGCTTCTGTTACACCAGGTGTCCAACGAGGGACTCCCGGTGACCCCCTTTGTTGTTTGCAACAGTCTGAGCCTTTTTGCGGACGCCATTTTGACAGGAAGGAATACGTTGCGGCTGCCGGCTGAAGCGTCGACAGCACTGATTCAAAACTTTGTACCTACGAGTCATTTCAACATGTTTGACAAGAGGACCCAGGTTTAAGACAGGATGAGCCCAGTGGACTCGGACACCCTGATAGATTATTTTTCTCCAAAGTGCCTTAACGTCCTGTTGTTGTGCTGAGCGGTCTGTTTTCCTGCTACTTACAAGCTGACTTGGTTTCAGCGAGGAATGAAACTGAGGAAAGATTTAAGATGTCGGGGTTTGTGCCGGTGGAGCGATGAAGTGGTTTTATTATGTTTGAGGAGGAAAGATGTCCACAGTGTTAAAAGTCACATCACAAAGAGCTCACATGACTTGTGTTGTTTTTCTACATTCTTTTTAAAAGTGTGTTTAAACTACAAGTTGTGATTTGTTGCATGTTGTAAATTAAAGGCTCATTGCACCATTTCTGTTTCAAATGCTGATTTCAAGTTTGTACTCAAAGCAGCCAAAACTGATGTGACGTACCCGCAACACACCAAATATATACAACATGTATGTACTAAAATGTTTAAATATATTTACAAAAGCAATTAATCCGGTACGAAACATGGAAATATTCACGTAAAATAAAGAAAAAATGAAGAATGTACCAACTAGATGAAATTTAAACAATTTAAACAATTTTTCCAGATCACTGGCGGCGCAAAACCTTTTATGTCTCTGCTACATTACAGACTTCAGCATGCAGGTTAAATTTATTCGGATATTACGCCAAGTCTTATATCTTCAGATGTGCAAATAAGTAATATGAAACACATTTCACTTATCTCTGCTCTTCCTGTTGCCTTTGATATAAAAGTTATTACACGTGTTTCAGAAAATTGAAATTGTTAAAGCAACGCTATGTAAGATTTGTTCATCTTTGAGATGTGGCGCCCCTACCATTCATTTCAGAGGACAGCTGGACACATGCATTTGTGATGAGGATCAGAAAGCCGACATCCTACTGACTGGTCGAGCAGGAAGAAGGTCAGCTGGCCGTCTGTCCTGCAGCTTTTCAGCTCTTCAGCTCTATCAGCCAGTCTGATATTTGCTCTTGTCCGGTCCCCCTCTCTTTTTTCCTCTTCCTCACATCCCCTGACGTCTTCTTCGTGCTGTTCAGCTATGATATCCATGCTGAGAACTCAGAGCTAGCTTCATCCAGAGAAATCTCATTGTACATTATATATTTCTGCTTCTTCTTAAAGCTGAAGCTGCAGAGTCGTGTTGGTGCCATAAAGCTGTTGATGTGCTAAATGTCCTGCCTGGGACTCCAGTGATGCATTCTGGGTCCAGAGTGATTAAACAGAGACGCCTTTCTCCCTGTTACGAGTCAGTGTACCATCAAAATGATTTTGAAGCTGTTATTTTGGGATAAAATTACTATATAGTGTTGCTTTTAAGTAAACCGACGGATTTGAACTATACATTAACCACATCTGTTTTTATCAAGCAAACTAGTTTATGTCAAGTTTTATTTAAAGTGAAAAATCACCAGTACACTTTACAAAATGCACTGAAATAAAATAAACCATAAAATACAGAATGCATGTAATAAAACACAAGATAAAATACAATCAGTATAAAATCAGCAAAATAAAATGATAATAAATGTGGTTTGGCCTTTTATCTCAGCTCCACTGCAGATGTCGTAAAAAAAAAATCTGCGTCGAATAAAATAGATTCAGTATTTACTAAATGTAGTAATTTAATCCATATCTATCTATAAAGACACGTTTTTTAAAAACCTAATCATCAGCAGGCAGGAAAAACTCAATTTAAACACCGATCAGCCATAACATTATGACCACCTGCTTAATATTGCCTAGGTCCTCTTTTGCTGCCAAAACAGCCCAGGGGTCTCATTTCTAACCTGTACGTACAAAACAGGGCTGGAAACGTGCGGACGCCACTTCCCAAGCGATGGTTGTGACGTAATGCTCGTCCTGTCAGTAAACTGTGACCCAGGCGTACGAGCAGAAAGAGGAGAAAAGAGAAACGGCGCCTCACGCGGCAGAAGGATGAACCTGTGTGAAATGAAGAGGCCGACTGCTGTGTGAAATAAATCCAGATATTCCCTCTGAGTATTCCAGGCTTAAAGCCTTTCTGAATAAACAAACAGCCGTTTGACTGATTTTCCCTGAAGTGGCCAAAGAAACAAACAATTTAAGATCATTTGCAGCAAAAAGATCCAGATTCAGGATCATAAACACAAACAGATTCTGTTTCTGCACAAGAGCCTCAAATATGTTTAATCAGGAATCAGATTAATTAATACTTTATTTATTCTCACAAATAAGGTGAACAGGAGACAAATTACATTTAAACTGATGCTGTTTTCAGTCGAGCAAATACGAGAGCAGAGCTTCATGTATTATCAGATGTTCGTTGCCTTATGGAGCCAAACGCTGAGCGCCAGCGTGTAAAAACACTTTTATAAAGACACAAGGTCCTCACGCTGCACATTTTTCCTGCCTCTAACACATCAACTCTGAGGACACAATGTTCAGCTGCTGCCTGATAGATCCCGCCCACTGACTGGTGACATGGGAACCAGGTACTCACTGTTATTCACTTCACCTGTCAGTGGTCATAATGTTTTGGCTGATCGGGGTTTTATTCACAGATATTAGAAAGTGTAAAGGGTAACTGATCCCACGTGACCTCTCCTGGATCTGATCAGGTAAGAAATCCATCTACATGCTGAATAAAAGGTGTAGAGAACAAACATCTCTCTTACAACAGCTGAATATCATGTTAGCAGGAATCTCTGTGATTGTTTGAACCACACAGACGGAGCAGCGAGCAGCGTTTAGTGTCCTCTGATGTTTTAGAAGTGGATTCATCAGGTAATTCCCATCGTGCTCCAGTAAACTCCGTCTTTACTGTATGACTTGTAGTGACAGCAGGTTGTTTGAATTTGAGCGTAGGAAGATGACTCTTCTTTTGTTCCCTTTTTACCGCTGATGTTTGTGGACTCGCACAGAGGATCGCTCATGAGAACACACATTGAGGCAGCAGCTGATGGAAACTAACCCCCCCCCGCTCCTCCTGTGTTTACTCTGAGTGTTGATATACATCGCAGAGTCACTTTCAGCTTGGGGGGGGGGGGCTACAGTTACCCATAACACCCTTCTGTGAGGAGGTTTACAAAGACGTCCAGGAGGCATCATCAGATTCAGCTGTAATTCTGATTTACAGATGCAGTTTGTTGTCTTTTGAAGCAGTTTCATCACAGAGGATGATTTAAATCAGGGGGTCTTAAAGCCTGAGACTGTGAGCCACACTGACATCAGTTATTAAGAGTGTTTTGGAGGGAAAGTGTGGTTTCTGCTCATTTCCTTTCACATGTAACTGTGTGCATTTTACTGTGAAGCACATCGAGTTCCCTGTAATGAAATATGCTATAGACGGGTTTCTGTGCAACGTCCTCACCGAGATGCAACCAGGAGGCAGAAAGCAGCACTTCAGTTTATACAGCAGATCTCGCAGCAGAAATTGTGATGACTGACTTATTACTCATTTAAAAAGTATTAATATTACGTTACTTATTACTGGGTGTTAAAAGTAAATAGTCACGTTACTTGTTACGTTAGAATTACTTTCAACCACTGCAGTGACGGAAAACCTGTTCAGCAGCGCGTTTTAGAAATGAATCCACTTTACTGGAACAATAATTAACCTGAGGAGTCATTCCTGCCTGTGGCCATCAAGCTTTATAACTCCTCCCCCTAAATATCTGACACACGGACACTTAGTTTTTAAACTGGATTGTATTATCTATGTTTGTGCAATATTCTCCTATTTATTCACTCGTCCTTTTTTGGTTCACCATAATAATTCTCTAATGTAAATATTGTAGATACCCACACTCTGTATTTTATATTTATATATTCTATCTACCTTTTATTACTATTTCTATTCCTTATGCCTTGACATGTGAGCAATTGTGACAAAGAATTTCCCCTCGGATCAATAAAGTGATTCTGAACAAGCAGCCGAGCTGAAAACACTGCAGCCTCTGGGACCACAGGATGCTGCATCCTACAGGCTATGGATATAGGCAATTTAAAAAGAATACAAAAACTAAACTAAGGGCATATTCATAACAGCCACCATTAGTATGATTTTATTATTTTTTTAAGCCTATAACATTTTTTAACGCCACTGTCTGAGATAAAAAAAATTAAAAAATTAAAAAAAATAATAATAAATTTAAAAAAAATCAAGCAAGAGTCTCAGTTTTTAAACTGTTTAGCACTGTTACCGTTATGCAGTTAGAAGTGAAGTATTCAGTGCTTTTACAAAACACAAGACGTTGATTAACGCCACTCTGTCCTGCCGCGTGGACGCTTCACTGGCGGTAACGTCAGCTGCCGGAGTTTCTCTCTACACGCCAAGTTTCACGTTTCTTAGCAGATGCTTCAATAGAAAATTGTTCGCGGTTGAAAGCTTTTTGCTGGTCTCCTCTGAGTGTGACACAGCTAAGGCCGAATGGCCTGTGGAGCTCGTTATTCCTTTACATTTTATTCATTTAGCTGACGCTTTTATCCAAAGCAACTATTATGTCAAAGGTCGCACGTCTCTGGTTCACATGTGTTCATCATGTGTCACAGTGGGGAGTCGAACCCAAAGGCATGTGTCTGATCCACTGTTCCATCACCACCCCGTGCCTTTTAGCCAGCAGCTGACTTGAACGGCGTTGCGTGCGGTGTCGCTGATCTACAGCGCGGTCGTGTCTGTTCTGTTAATATGCGAAACACAAACAAACAGACTCTGAAATGACAGTTTATTCAGTCAACAAGAATTTACAAACGATGCGTAACCTACGTTGATTACAGCGGTTGACTGCAGACTTCTGACCGGCTACTGAAGCGCTGTTGCCCCCCGGCTGCAGACGCGTCCAGCAGTGTTTGTATACAAGAAACTCGTCTATGTAAACACATAAATCACCTTTTCTCATGACAGTTTGGGAAATGGCTGTTTTTGCCTTCTAAGAAGTGCACGACAAGTTGAATGTCAACGTCGTGTTATTTTTGACAGCGTATCTTTCTTCAGTGCAAGTTGTCGGATACAGTTGGCTTTGGTCAAAATGGTACCAAACCTGACAACCTCGCTGGGAAGACAAGTTCCAGCGCAGAACTCTAAAACTGCAAACTGTGTTTTTTATATTTCTGTTTTGGATTTAAAAAAAACACGATTCAACGTGTTCATCTAAGGCTACACGTCAACACTGCTACGTTTGTGTTTTAAAACAGAGCTGTAAAAAGAGAACGATCTCCGTCCACAGCAGCGTTTTAGCTGCGTATCAGAGTGGATCTGCGTTAAATCTGAAAACGCACATCATGTGACCGTTCACGTACGCTGGGCGTGCACGAGTCGACGCAAAGCAAATACGAGGACACGCACAGCACAAGTGTTATTTACACAGTACAGAATACTTTAATAAACTAAAAGTCTGTCAGCAGCATCGTGTTTCTGCTTTGCATGACTGAAAAGAGCCAATCAGGAAGCCGAGCGTCTGCGTCATCGTTTTCACCTGCACTTACAAGAGTTTAAAACCAAAATGGGGTCAGCAGCGTTTGTTCAGATTCGACATTTCAGTCTGGACGGGAGTTGCAAACATAGAAAAAGTTAGTTCTTAAAGTGAGAAACCTCTCAATCAGAAGGGGGGCGTACTTTTTGGGGGTACAATCCCAGGTACTTAATTTAGACTGGGGTAAAGTTCTTGAAGGCTGCAGCAGTGATTTAGATGATTAATGTTGTTCAGTGAAGTTCAAACTCTGGTTCCATCTTCTCCACCATGACTGAATCTCTTTCTCTAAATAAACTCTTCAGACTCCACGAACTAAAGACTGACATTCACTGTTATTTATGTCTTACAGACTGAATGATGACAGATATTTTTATTGCTGGAAGGAAAGTGTTCGGCTGAAGGAGGGGAGGGCATGATGGGAAGTATGAGTCACGGCGGCCTCTCGTCCCCCTTGAGGCCGCTTCATTTCCTGAGCTCAGCAGCTGCTGGTGGTGCTTGTGAATGTGGGAGCAGCCGACCGTCAGCAGGCTTCATGATGATGTTGAGATGAGTGGGAGAGCAGCAGCTGATCCAAGTCCTCCTAAACAGCAAAAACAACGGAGTTTTAAAGGAAAATTCAGCTTTTTACAACTCTGGCCTCATTCATGTTGCAGTAAAGCAGTTATGTTAGCAGCACAGCGCTCTGGATGCTAAAGTTGTCCCGTTTCTGTTCCCCTCAGGATGAACTGGGATAACTCTGGTCATCCTCTGACTTTCTGTTTAGCGCCATCCTCAGGTCAACTCTGAAACGTGGACGCAGTCTCCAAGATGTCAACGCAGACTTCTGAAGAGCCGTTGTGGAGCTCAGGGAGGGCGGCTCCCATGCCTCGCCATCTAGAGGGGAAACCACCAACCCGTTCTCACTCCCAAGTCATGTGGACGCATGGTCAAGACCCGGTGGCGTCAGTTTGTAACGCACTGTTGTAGTTCAACGCAGTGAGGGAAACCCTGCAGTTTCACTTTTGAACACTAAACGTAGGTGTAGGAGAGTGAACAGAAAAGTCACAGTAAGGAGGTGGTTGCGGTGGACGGTGTTCATGTCCCGTGTGAACACTGAATGTTTTTACATAAGTAATGTCACAAAACCGACGAATGCAACGTAGTTATTTTAACCCTGATCTTTTCCTAACCAAAATGCAAAGTTTCACTACTACGTTGCTTAGTTATCGTTGCTAACTCGACAGTGGCGCTGTAAACGCCGAAAGACAACGCTGAAGGGCATCCAGGGCGTTAAAAAGCGACGCCAAGGGAACTCGACCAGCGTCCAGTTGTGATGAGTTGGGAATGAGAATGTGTTCCACCCACCTGTCACTCAAATTGGCCACGAACTTAAATATTCATAACTTTAAACAGGTGAGTTATGAAATTCCACATTAGCATGCTAATGCTAATGCTAATGTGGAAAACATTGTACCTGCTAAAACAGGAGCATGTTAGCATTTAGTTCAAAGTTATGAGTCAATACTGCCTCTGATTCATTACTTATCGGTAAATCTGGGTCTGATTTTATTTATTACTTTACATACTGCTGGTTTGTGAACCAACCCGGGGATCAATAAAGTCATACCCATAATCTATTTGTTGATTATATTTCATGCTAGTAATCTAAATCGGGTGTAGTGGCTATTTGTCCATAAACTTAAACAAAACCAAATAATAACAAACTTCTCAAATGGCCACTTGAGGCTACGTCATGGTTGGGCTTTACGCAGGTTCAGAGGTACCAAAGCAAAGTGATGTCCATAACAAGACTGAGTTTGAGGAGGTTTATTCACACACATAAGCAAGCTTACAGACATTTCTGCTGCCTCTCTCACGCTGGTAAAAAACCATATGCCCTCGTGCCTGCAGCACCTCTCACCTTGACCTACTTATGCAAATGAACATAACACCATGTGACCAACAAACGACAATACAAGTAAAGCATAAATACAAAATAAACCAAATTAACTTTAACAAGAAAAGAAATAAATTAGACTATAAATTAACTTAAGCCCAAAATAAACAAAAATAAGAATATAGCTCCAACATCGGGAAACTAACTAGTTACTTCAGTTGTAAAATAAATGGGTAGGGCCTAATACAGTGAGGAAGATAAGTATTTGAACACCCTGCTATTTTGCAAGTTCTCCCACTTAGAAATCATGGAGGGGTCTGAAATTGTCATCGTAGGTGCATGTCCACTGTGAGAGACATAATCTAAAAAACAATATCCAGAAATCACAATGTATGATTTTTTTAAAACTATTTATTTACAGCTGCAAATAAGTATTTGAACACCTGTCTATCAGCTAGAATTCTGACTCTCAAAGACCTGTTAGTCTGCCTTCAAAATGTCCACCTGCACTCCATTTATTATCCTGAATTAGATGCACCTGTTTGAGGTCGTGCGGGTTTCCAGGCAGCTCAGAAGAATCTGAAGTGAGGAACCGGCGCCACCTGCTGGAACAAACCTCAGCACAACAACAAAACACACAGGAAATATACATTTAAACAAGATGATGTATAAATAACATGAACAACAAATAGAGAGTTACTTATTAAAATATACTAAAAATATATTTTGGAAGCTAGAAGGTAAATAAAGATGTGAGAAACAGAATATTACCAATATTAATGATGTGAGAAAACAATAAATAAACTAGCATTTTATTTATAATTATTTACAGTTGTTGTCACTGCAATATGAAGTGAGGAAAAGTTTTCCATCAAACAACAAAGGTCTTAATTATATGAGAACAAATTAAAAAGAATATTAATTGGTAACTATTTTGTTAATCGATCGAAGTTATTTTACAAGCAAAACTTTTTTTTTATCTGACATTGTATTTATTTATTTTATAAGACAATTTGCACATTAATGAAAAATGACAATAATCGTTGCAGCACAAGTCTTAATGTTTAATGAGGAAACCTGCAAATTAAAAGTGAAACAGGCAGAAAATCATTTATGAATCAATTTAAAATGAATAATTAAACTTTTCAGCAGGGGTGTGCGCGCGCAGAGTCAGAGGGGTGGGTCCTCTCTGGTCTCCATGGGAACGGGATCAAACACGGAAGTCTGCTGCAGGTAAACAAAACAAACAAACCTCTGAACTCACCTGTTTATTTCACCGAAACCAGTTCATTTAAATCATCTTTTGTGGGACGACGCTTCGTCTTCGTCTTTTATCGGACGCAGACATTTTTAGTCTCGTTATTTTCCGTCAGTTTCTGTCACTCGATCAGCTGATTAACGGTTAAACAGCCGGTAGATAAACCGGTTAGCGGGTTATTTAATGTGATTTTCCTGTTTAATGCGCGACTGGACTCATTAAAAGTCATCTAAAATACCGTGTTTCTATTATCGGACATCCTCGCATTAAGTTGACACAAGTTAACTTTCAGGATCCGGTTACAACTTAACAAAATAAAATGATTCTTTCTCCACATGAACATTTTTCAAAATAAAGAGTGGAGAGTGAAGCGGTGGCAAAACCTTTAATATCTACTGTTATAATATAATTACATGTGTTTTATTATAATTTATAATATAATTTGAATATAAGCACGGACTGATATATCTCCTTATATCTACATTAATATTTTAGATTTGCATCAGTGCCATGTCGGCTCTACCTGCACTCAGTATTACTAATCTAATTTACAAATACTTCATTACATTTCTGTTCAGACTGTAAAATACTGTACTACACTGCTTTTAGATTTTAAGATTTGGATATTTTGTCATATTTTTGTTATCTATTTCTTAATATCTTGATATGCAAAGTGAGAAATCTTTACGAAATAATTTGTTAAAATTAGACTCTAACAAACTGTTAACTGTTGGAAAGTAACTAACTACAGTATTTTTACTGCATTTCAATTTAATTTGGAGTATTATGCCACGTTATGCTTCAACCCCACCAGATGTCAAAGGCAAATATTGTACTTTTTACTGCTCTACATATATTTGACAGCTTTTTGGCTTTGCAGATTAAGATGTTACATTAAAAAAAATCTGATCTTATTAAATACAACAGATTATTATTAAGCCTTTTTGCCTTTTACTGATTTGCATATTGGTTCCTCCACAGTGCACATACAAAAAACATCATCCAGGACGACGTGTTTATATTTCACTGTCAGGCAATATTTAAAACTCCTAATACAGGACGTGCAAATCACTGAGGTGAGGGAAGAGAAGCAGCTAAGATGACACTGTGCTGCGTTCAGGTGCAAACTGAAGACATAGAAAGCACATACAGAGTATAAATACATAAATTAAATACTAGCATGCTGAAACAATCATTCTTTGTGCTGTAAAATAATAATAATAATAATAATAAAATAGTATTTGTTGTTATTACTACTAACAGTACTTGTTGTTCAGTCTGGGCTCCTGGTGAACCTGTCCTCTGTTCCACAGGTGAGCTGACAGGATGCTGAGGTTCAAGGAGGTGGAGTCAGGCCAGGCTCCGCCCCCTGGCAGCTGCGGCCTGGTTGCTAAGCGGTACAGCATCCTGCAGAGTCTGGGCCGGGGAGCTTCGGCTCGGTCTACCTGGTTCAGGACTCCAGAGCTGCAGACGGAGAAGAGCTGTGAGTACATTCACTTTTTATTTGACAGGCCTTTCCTCCGGCCGAGCCGATCTGGTCCCGGTGCTGCTGGTTGCTTTGTCTCTATGTGAAAGAACAACCGAGTCCAAACACGTCAAAATCTTTTCCCACTTGATCCTCACGGCTCCAGCATCGTTCATAATCCCAAGAAAAAACCTCCAACTCAGTTCTTTCTCACCAGAAAGTGCAAAAGATCGAAACTCGGGGCCTTTCTCAACCCGTGTTCCCGTCTGTACTTGTGTTCTTGTGAAACGTCTCTTTTGTGGCCAAAGTTCTGTCCCAGTACACAAGTCTGCATTTTGGCAAGAAAGGTTAAAATTCCCAGAAGTGTTCTTGACACGCCCATTTTATCCAGGATGCATCGGCTGGTAACTTGTGTGAACTTGGAGAGAAATCAACTGTGTAGATGTCGAATATTGGCAGTTTTAGTGAAAATGATGGACAATTTAGGGTCAGTGAGCTCTTCTAGTTACAAACAAACACAGTGAACGAGTGAATTTACAGTGTAAGAGACAAACTGAGAGGATCCTGTCAGACGTTTTAACAGGAGACGCGTCACTTAAAGAATCCTGAAGAGAATCCTGTGACGCCCAAGATGGCGGCTGTATGCACATGTCCCGCCCCCTCCAGCAGGAATCCCAAAAGTCTGCGTTTAACAGCTGAGCCAGGAAGCATAATCAGCCAATCGTGTGGCTCCACTGGCTTAAGATGATGTTGTGGCGGCGAGGAGCAGGCATGTGACCTGATCAGATGCGCTACATGACCGCCAAAATCCTGCGTGACAAGGCTCCAGATTTGATTTGCAGTACTTATGAAACACATGGGCTCCTTCTATAAACGTATACGATGCCATAACCTCAGTTAGCTTAGCATTTGTTCTGATGAGCTCATGGCGTCCCGTCCCCGGCGCTCTGCATGGAGCCGTAAATGAAGGCGCTGTGGTGAAAGCTTGTGCATGTGTGGTATAATAAAAATATATAAGTATAAAAAACACTTTTTAAACCTTTATGATGGGGGAAAGTCATCAAACTGTGTCAGATTCACCTGCTCATTCTCTACATGCAGGTTTTATGGCTCTCTGCTCGCAACAAACTACTATTTTCATTGTTGATTATTGTTATGCATCTATAAATTGTCGATCAGTGCTTCCTGAAGCTCAACATGACGTCCTCGCATGTCGCGTTTAGTCCACAACCAAAAATATTCAGGTATATATTCAGGTTTCTGTCTCAGAGGAGGAAAGAAACCAGGAAAAATTCACATTTAAGAATCAGAGAATTGTTATTTTTATATTCTTGAAAAATGACTAATGGATTATCAAAATATTTGGTGAGTAATTTAATAGTTGACAACTAATCAATGAATTGTTTCAGTTCTGTTATTTCTTACTGCTACAGCTGTGTCTCACTGTGTGTTTTGGAACACACACATTTATGTCTGAAGAGTGATTTTACTTCCAATAAGCTGCTTTATCTCTAAACAAACGTCCATAAATGAGCCTGTCAGGCCATCGGGGGGGAACCGTCTGCAGAGCGTCACCAGGTGGCAGCATCGACCTGTAAAACACACACACACACACACACACACACACACACACACACACACACACACACCACACTCTCTCTCTCTCTCTCTCTCTCTCTCTCTCTCTCTCTCTCTCTCTCTCTCTCTCTCTCTCTCTCTCTCTCTCTCTCTCTCTCTCTTCCAGTTAAAACCATGTATCTCCAGATTTTGAGTGTGTTTGTGATAAACTGCAGCATGAATTGTTCCTTCATGAGTTAAAAAAAACTCTCCTACTTAAATAAATAAAATCAATGTGTTTATGTAGCTGCTTATTTATGTATTTATTCATGAATAAGTCATTTTGTGGCTTTGACTCTACGGACTCCTGGCTGAAACTGGCGCTCACCCATTCAGAACCTGGTTATGGTGGACATGGCTGCTGATGTCCCGATCAGAGTCCTGTAATGTTGATTATCTGCTGATACTGAGTCCGATCTGATAACTATATTTACCCAAACATTGAATAAATGTCTGACACACTGAAATAACAGCTGTAGATACTAAACATGACATACCAGATTATTTAGAGAGGATGTCTCGCTCTGTTGGAGTTGTTGAACTCTGGAAAAATTAGTTTGTTTGTGGAGTGAAGCTTCTTCCCTCATAGAGGATTTTTGGTGAAGTTCAGACTCAGAACAAAAGTTAACTTGTCTGTTGTTGGTTTCTGTCACCAAGTTTCTCACTGAACTAACACAAAGACAGAAAAAGGGACGAAGCTCTCCCACTTGACGTGATGCATGCTGTACTTAACAAAAGGCATGCTGGTTAGAAAATGTCCGACATGACATTAAAACCAGCTGCAGGCGCTGAGTCCGGGGACCACAGGTAGAATGTCTCCGACTTAACAGCGCTGATTTTAAACCCCGACCCTGCAGTCGCCTGCCACTCATCTCGAAAAGAGGCAGCAGCAGAGGGGCGGTAGAGGGGCGCGGCAGCAGCAGAGGGGCGGTAGAGGGGCGCGGCAGCAGAGGGGCGGTAGAGGGGCGCGGCAGCAGCAGAGGGGCGGTAGAGGGGCGCGGCAGCAGCAGAGGGGCGGTAGAGGGGCGCGGCAGCAGCAGAGGGGCGGTAGAGGGGCGCGGCAGCAGCAGAGGGGCGGTAGAGGGGCGCGGCAGCAGCAGAGGGGCGGTAGAGGGGCGCGGCAGCAGCAGAGGGGCGGTAGAGAGGCGCGGCAGCAGCAGAGGGGCGGTAGAGGGGCGCGGTAGCAGAGGGGCGGTAGAGGGGCGCGGTAGCAGAGGGGCGGTAGAGAGGCGCGGCAGCAGCAGAGGGGCGGTAGAGGGGCGCGGCGGTAGAGGGGCGCGGCGGTAGAGGGGCGCGGCGGTAGAGGGGCGCGGCGGCAGAGGGGCGGTAGAGAGGGGCGCGGCAGCAGCAGAGGGGCGGTAGAGAGGGGCGCGGCAGCAGAGGGGCGGTAGAGAGGGGCGCGGCAGCAGCAGAGGGGCGGTAGAGAGGGGCGCGGCAGCAGAGGGGCGGTAGAGAGGGGCGCGGCAGCAGAGGGGCGGTAGAGGGGCGCGGCAGCAGAGGGGCGGTAGAGGGGCGCGGCAGCAGAGGGGCGGTAGAGAGGCGCGGCAGCAGAGGGGCGGTAGAGAGGCGCGGCAGCAGAGGGGCGCGGCGGCAGTTGTAAACTACTGTCTCCTTCCTGTCAGTGTCTCTCTGCTATGCTCTGTCGCTTCCTCACTATCCGTGACACACAGACAGACTCGGTGTGTTTCAGCTGTCTGACTCTGGATGGGAGTCGACAGGATTTACTGAACGCTGAGGCTTCATTTAGAGAGACAGCAGGCTGCTTCCTCTCTTAGTTTTCAGTTCAGTGTGCTGCATGAATGTTGAGGTTAAACCACGTCGCCAAAGCAGTTTGCAGCAAAGTCTCAAGGTTTACATTTGGAGTAGAACAAGAATTAACACAATCAGCTTCCGTTTAGCAGTTGTGTTACAAACAGATGTAATCTGCCGTGCAGCGAAACACTCAGTGCTGCAGCTGTCCCTCAGGTTGGGACACAGGGATTTCATTTATTGTCATCTTCTTTGAAATCTGGTTTTAATAGATGGAATTTCTGAAAATATTGCTCTCTTATGTTTGTATATTTGTCACATTTCACCTGTCCTACAGAGCTCACCGACTTTTTATCTCCCCTGTTTCAGCTGCAGGTCACTGAGTCTGTACTCGGTAAGAAGCTGCCTCTGACAGCAGAGACATTCAGACATTTCAGAATCTCTGCTTAGGACCAGAAAACAATCTAGTTTCTGTTGTTTTTTTTCCTCCCAATGATCCAGATAATGTTGGTTTTCTGGTGTTTGTAAAGTTGGCCTCAGACAGTGTGTGTGACATGTTGCAGGATTTGTTAGTCTCAGGACTAGCTGGCATGAGGGACTCTTTTCAGGGTTCAGCTCTGGGGTTTGAAAGCCTTAAATCGGAGGGAGTCTTCAGGACTTGATCTGAGGTGCATCTGAAAGTTTAGTGCTCCGTTTTGGGGATCTGTTTATCAGTGGAAACCGCACTAATTCTGCCCTACATGCATTTGTGTTGGTGAAGTCAGTGGTGGAAGAAGTATCTTTAATAATGTAATACCACAGTATAGAAATACTGTTACAAGTACAAGCATTCAAAATGTAACTAAACTAATAGTCACTAAAAATATATTTAAAGTACCAAAAGCCCATTTCAGAATAATATAATTTATAATTACTGTACATAGTGCTGGTAGCTTGATCCATAATAATAATCATTATAATTTATTAGTTAAATGTTAGTATTAATAATCTAACAAACGTAAAGAGAGATGTGGTGGAGTAAAAGTATAAAGTTGTATACAATCTATATACTCAAGTAAAGTACTAGTACCTTAAAATAGTACTAAAGTACAGTATTTTAGTAAATATACTTTACAGTTTACGTTCCAGCACTGGTAGGGAAAGATCCTGCTAGACCGGGTGTTCATGTTGCCCTTTCCTCTGATTGGGGTCATGTGATCAGGCTGAAGGGACAGGGTTTACCTGAGCAGGTAGACCTGCAGCCTGTTGCTCAAGGGCAGAAAGAACCAGAAGGAGTCTTTGTGTTGTCAGGAGACAGATGGTGAGTCGGCGTTGGGAGTCGTCATCTCTGCCCTTTCACCATCTGACAGGTCTCACCCCTCCTCCTCGCCCTTCCTCCCCCGTCGCTGCCGGATTTAAACACAGCGCCCCAATCAATGTGTCAGCGTTGGCTCATAAATCTGCGTCAGAGACAACTTTTCCAGTCTTGTCTGTCTTGGGTATTTAAAAAAAAAAAACTTCACCTCAGATGTGAAGAAAAGGTCTTCGTCTGTCACCTGAAGCTCGTCATGATCAAAACAACAAAGAGGAGGACGGAAAGAGCAGAAAGAAAACGAGGGCGCCGGGTCTGTGTTTAGGAGGCTGAGAGTCGGGATGTGACCGATGAAACCAGA